GGCACCCTAACCGGGCCTAGAACCTGAGGTGCCGGCGCCGCAGGCGGATGATTAGCCTAGTGAGCCGCGGTGCCAGTCCTCATGTCATTTATTTTATTACAGTAAGAAAAAATATGGAATAGTACAAGTTTTGTGGGTAACAGTAATAGAGAATAATAGCTTTCCTAGTGTTTTTTTTATGTTAATTTACTTAACAGTCTGTTACGACATTCAGTCACACAGCTCCATACAGCTTTGTATATTTTGAGACATGGGACCCTCGTGTTGAAAATATTTAAAATCGGCCTATCAAAAAAGTTTAAAATATTTCTTTATTTATTTGAAAGGCCGATTGAGGGGGGGGGGAGAGAGAGAGAGAGAGAGAGAGAGATGAATTCTATTCTATTCCTTGGTTCATACCCCCTCAATGGCTGCAATGGCCACTGCTGGGCCAGGATGAAGCCAGGAGCCTGGAACTTCACCTGGGTGTCTGACATGAGTGGGAGGGGCCCAGGTATTTGGGGTATTTTCCACTGCCTTCCCAGGTGCATTGGAAGGGAGCTTGATAGGACGTGGAGAAGCTGGCACTTGAACTGACACTCATATGGGATGCTGGTATCACAGATGTTAGTTTAAACCACTGTACCAAAATTCTAAACCCTTAAAATGACCCTCTCAAAAAGTGAATTCTGGATTTTAGCAAATTCTGGAGGAGCGGACACTTTAAAATTTCCTTTTCTTTCTGTTAGGGCAATAATACACCATCTTTTAGAAGGGAAAATGGCAGAATTCTCATTTTTGCTAATCCCAGTTATGGTGTTAATAAATGGATAACTAAGCTGTTAATATTCACTACTGTTGACTCCAATATCTGTTCCCTTTCCTAGAGACCTCTGTATCTTTAGTGTGAATTCTTAAGGGACCTGGTAGGCTTTCAGTGTCAATGGAGTGAAATTACAATGATACATGGTGCTGAAGTTGATAATTTTGAAGCCAGTTTTCTTGTTTGTCATTCTCCCACAATTTGCTCTCAACAAATTAGAAAAGCAGGTTCTTTGGAGAAGAAAAGTTCTGAATAAAAATTTTATCAGGCATTTTTTTCATTTACATTTCCACAGGAAGTATTGTAAAGGCATTGTCAACGTATGCACATTAGTGTTTGTTTTTTTTCTCATGTTTTTTCTTGTTATTATTTCCTACAATAGCAGGATTTTGAGATTCAGTGATTATATTCATGGTAGTATCAAGTATTTTCATTTGGGTTTTAGAATAAAATATTTAAGAGTTGCAAGGTGTAGAGACTGGCAGCTTCATTTGGAGGAAGGTTGAGAATGTTTATGATCACATTTTAATGATTTTCCCCAAATTGGGAGTAGGTAACTTCTTTTTGTTAAATTCATTCATTTATTCATTCATTCACTTATTTATCGAAAGATTGCCAGAGTGGGGAGACGGAGAGAGAAAGACAGAGAGACAGAGACGCAGAAATGTCTTCTGTCTCCCAGTTCACTTCCCAAATGTCTACAATAGCCAGGTCTGGGTGAAGCTAAAGCCAGGAGCCAGGAACTCCACCCTGGTCTCTCACATGGGTGGCAGCGGCCCAAGTACTTGGCCATCTCCTGCTGCCTTCCCAAGGTGCATTAGCAGGGAGCTGGATAGGAAGGTAGGAAGGAGAGCATCTGGGACTTGATATGGGATGCCAGTTTCATGCAGCAGTTTCACCCATTGCACCTCAATATTGGTGCTTGGAAGGGCATCTTCTGTGTAAGCATGATTAGGTACCCCACATACTCAGCTTTTAATTACATGGGCCTATTGGTTTTAGCTTCTTGTAGTGGTATTCCAATATGAAAAAGGATTTTGTTTTTGTCTTTTCCCCAGTAGTGGGAATTTGAAAGAACCCCAGATCCAGGTGTGTTGGCTGCATTCAAATTTATTTGCATACCACATAGAGGAGGAGAGAAAGCCTGGATAGTAGTTTTGGCATTTTAATAATAGGCCTCCAAGGAAGGAAAGAACCACACAATTCATTTTCTTTGACAAAACTTTAATTAGAAAACCAGACTCCTTTGATTATAAAAATTACACAAGCTGATAAATCTTGGTACATTATAGAGAGAATAATTTTATGAACATTTTATACCTAATAGAAAAGTTAAAATAATTAATTGCATTCATTAGATTAATTTTGTTTTCACATAGTCTTCTAATATAAAAAAGCATATAGTCATCATCAACCTTTATATAAATCCATATTTGTTTGTGATAGTTTTTCATGATGAGAATGAACAATATTCATACTTAAATAATGATATTAATAATTGGTAATGAATCAAAACTGCCAAAAGCTGAAGCATGACAAATAATCCAGATTGCTTACGGGGCTCTTGAGTCTCCTGGATCCAGCCCAATGATCTTTTGAAGAAGGCCTAGACACAAGAATTCATACTATATAATATTTCCCCACCTGAAAAAAACTATATATGATCAGTGTTGCTTTACATGTTTTCAGAACAATTCCTTTTTCTTTCAACAGTTTTGTATGAGAGTGTTGCTAACTCTTTGCTGGTATATTGTGCTGCTTATGAGAAATGATGTCAGATCAGCAGAAAACTGGAAATCTTATTTTTTTTCTCTCCAGAATAGTAAGAACAGATGCACATTGACAATACAGAGCTTCATGTGAATATGCATTTTCTTCCTTAAAATACTATATCATTTAAAAAATATGTTGTTAAAACTTCTGTCCTAGAACAAGTTGGCATCAAACAAACTTCCTGACCATGGTCTTTTGGCAAGATAAAAGAATACATCTTGTGTCCACATAATAAATAAGGAGCCTGGGTAGAAGTCATACGCAATACCTACATTTCTTTATTGCATTATAATTTTTAAAAATATTGCATTGCAATGAATCAATTTCTTACCATCACCAAATCATTTGAACTCGCAGTTGTTCAGTTAAAAGTGCTCCTGTGTCTCTGCGATGGTATCCAAACATAAGTGCTGCTAATTAGTTAACACATTACTTACTTTCATTTGGGGAATGGCAATTAAAAAGTTGTGAATGAAGTAATCTAAAAAGGATGATACTACATTGAGAATAAACAGACAAATAACATCCATTAAATATTCTTTTGCAAGCTGGCACTTTTACACATATATTTCCAAGTTAATTTCACTGTAGTAATTTTGGAGCAAACGATATTTCTAAATAATTCTATATTAGTACCATGAGGCCTGAAGGTAACACATCTAAAGATGTCATCGTTTCATGTCTGATACCCAAATTCAAACACAAAGTTATCTGAACCAGTTTAGTTAATTTAGTTTGCAAGCTAAAGTGGCAGAATCACACCATCTGTGGACATTTAAACTTGAGTGTTGTCCTTGCAATCACTTATTGCACACTTCTTTAGAAAGTGATCAGTTAGTAATTATATAGCAAGTGACAGCCATGAACGAATATCCTGATGATCATAGGGGAGGGGAGGTGCTCAGAGATGTACTTCAGTTTTGTGACAGGTGTCCTCCAAGTCTGGATTCAGATACAGGTGTAAGAAGAAAAGCTGATTTTGGTTTTTAATATTTACCTTACTCTAAATAAATTCCTTATGTTGGACATAGTAATGTGTATGGAAGAAAACTGGATATACTCAGCTTACCTCAACTTCAAGTGGATAAAAATATAAGTAGGAATTTTAGCTGAGAGCAAGGCAGAAATGAAAACATTAATGTAAATAAAAGTTATCACACTTCCCAAGCAAATATTATCTATAATACTTTCAGAAAAATTTGTACATGCTGACACCTATGTGGTATAATTAATAATGCATTTTCTGCCAGAAATAATGCAATGTTGCTTCACATGTAAATTATATGTTATTTTGGAAAGATTCTAAGAGGAATAAACCAAGGCATGAAATATAAAACAGTAGGAAAGTTGAACAAGCAATAAACGTACACTCCATTAGCCATCTGAGTTGAAATTTCTGTGGATGAAATTGCATAATAAATCTGTTAGCATTAAGGAAATTAAAGGAAGTTCCATATAAATGATAATGTAGGTGACAGATTTCTTCAAGAAAGGCAAACAATACAGAAATGTCAAATTTGTACAGAAAATGCTTCCCATTTTCCTTCATGAATCAACACATTTAAAACATCCACTTTCACCTTCATTCTTTCAGCTATTAGATATGTAGCTAATGATCTTATAGGACCTGTGATTTAATTACAAGCATCTGTTTTTGAGATTAATCAATGAATCATTAATGTGAGCTTGGAAGCAGTAGGTGGAATACCAATACATTATTCATTCTGAGGGAAGAAGGAATGTTCCTGAGCGTCAGATGATGTATTTCACTCACGCTATGTCAGGATGCTTTGTGTGCTTGTGTGCATACTCCTAAAAGTCCAGCTGAAAATGGCTTGGGGCAGTATTTTTTACTTCTTTAGCCTGAGAAGCTTTAGCATAGCAATTGCTCTCGTTTTGATTTGTGGCTACCATGATAATCTTTCACTTTTCAGCTGTATTTCATTTTCTTTCCATTGACAAGTCGGGATATGAGAACAGTCCCTGCTCTGTCAAAGGAAACCATGGCTTTTGTTAAAATTTAAGCTATTGATAAATATTTAAGGGAATGCAGAGCTACATGTCAGTATTACCTGGCAAGGAATTCAAAGGCAAGGAAACTTTCAAATTTGCTAGTAAGTCTATACTGCTAGATAGTAAGATGCATCTAATGGCTTTAACTTTATAATTGAAAGACCTTAAACTGCAAAGTTTCTCCTGAAATTGGTCCACACTTTGAACTTATTTCCCTCCCTCCTTTCCCAACCCTTCCTCTTTTCTTCCTTCCCTAAATGTTCATTAAATGTTTAATATGTGCCTTGCTCTGTTCTAGGGTACTAGAGATAGAGCAGTTTATAGAGCAGAAAAAAATCTGCCCCAAAGAGCTTTCAATCTCCTGGGGTTAGACACACAATAAACAAATACAACACTAAGTAGGAGAACAGGGAAAGAGACAATGTATTTTATTTATAAGATGGTCATGGATGGTCTTTCTAATGTTCAATACTTATCTAGTAGGTAATAAGAAGCCCAAAAGAAGTAAGGAAGACTTATGTTTATTTGGGGGAAGAAGAGAATTCAGGATGGTGGGAGCAAAATATTCAAGAGGGTGCATACTTGTCGCAGAGAAAACAACAGAGACCGGGGCAAGGGCGGTGCTTACAGAGAAGGAGGTATTCAGAAAAACCGAGTGGAGCTTGCCCTCTTTCCTGAATCTTCCTCCTCAGTCAACATCTGTGAAGAGCTGGATCATCTGCTTAGGCAGATCCAATGCCTTTTTCAAGGCCTACCCGAAGGTGCGTTTTTTTTTCTCTAAGTGTTTTAATGCCATTAATCTTTGATATCAATCTTTTAAGTCTAAACCATGAACCATGTAATTTATCATCAATTATTTTTTAAGTTCTGTTTTATTGCTCTGGACTGTTTCCTCTATTAGCATCTTCAAAGATATCATTATCAACTTAGGGGCATAAACTACATCATATATTTGCTCTATCTCCTACAGAATTTAATACTGAACTCAGGGTAATCAAATGAAAGAAATACATTAAATTGTCTGTTAGTTAAGAACAAATAAAGAAATCTACAATTCAGGATGAGAAAATTAAAGAATATTGACAATATAGCCATGAAAACAAACACATTAGAATGGAACTTGGAATAGATTCACTGAATTCTCGTTTTTGTCTGGTGATGAACTTCTTTTCCCATTCTAATCAAGAGATATCTAGGGGCCGGCGCCATGGCTCACTTGGTTAATCCTCTGCCTGCGGCGCCAGCATCCCAAAGGGGTCCCGGGTTCTAGGCTGGTTGCTCCTCTTCAAGTCCGACTCTGCTGTGGCCCAGGAGGGCAGTGGAGGATGGCCCAAGTGCTTGGGCCTCTGCACCCACACGGGAGACCAGGAGGAAGCACCTGGCTCCTGGCTTCGGATCGGTGCAGTGCCGTCTGTAGCGGCCATTTGGTGAGTGAACCAATGGAAGGAAGACCTTTCTCTCTGTCTCTGTCTCTCACTGTCTATAACTCTACCTGTCAAATAAAAAAAGAGAGAGAGAGAGAGAGAGAGAGAGAGAGGTATCTATACATTTGTAGACCTCTTCCCCTTGTCTGAAGAAAATAGCGGTTCCATCTATGTAAAACCTCCTTTCCTTGATTAGTAGTAGTACCGAACCTCTGCAAGGTCTGCTTTTATTTATGTTTCTTCCTCAGAACTCATGACTCAAATTTCTCTGCATATTGTTACCTAGCAAGGTCAGAGATATCAGTAGGGGTCAGAAATTATAAATATATCAGAGAGAAGGCTACAAAAATCTAATTTCACTAGTTTGAAATATTTCTTGAGACTCATTTACTTAAGTAATTAGGTCATGGATGAGCAGTGGAGGAATACCCTGAATATTGCCCAACAAGTGAACAGACTTGTGCTCCATGCTGAAATTGAATGAAGAAGATAAGAAGATGCCATTTGATGTCTCTAAGATCATTGCTTTACTGGAACATATAAGTCTCAGTCTAGTGCTTGGGGTATTACAATTGCTCCTCTGCTAAATTTCAAACTGGACAGATGCTTCAGAACCTAGTGTCCAGAGGAAAATGATTGTTTTTCTCTATTTTAGTAGAGCCTTTCCCCTTCCCCTCAAGTCAGTTAGTCATGATTTTCCCATTATTGAAACCATCCTCCTGAATCTTAATCGTTGCTGTTTAAGTAAAAATGAGAAGTGGTAATAGTGTGGGATATGACTGCATAACCTTCTTTGTGAATGTACTTTTGTTAGGTTTACTTTTCCCTCTGTGTCTCATTTCTTGCCTGATTCTGCTATTGAACAATGTTTCTTCCATGGGTAATGGTATGAGCTTTAGAGCCAGATTGTACCTATACTCATTAATTTGCTGTATTAATTTCAAGCAAAATGATTTATACCCTTAAGTTTATATCTTCTGTATTGTTAACTCACTAATCAATTTACTTGGTTTTCTTGTCTTCTATAGCTTACCATTTTACCCCCAATACATCTAACATTCTTTAATGCTTGTTATAAAAAACAAATAAAAATGTAAAGTAATTTATTTTTTAATGGCCAACAAAAATTAAGATTTTGAACAATTTTTAGATTAGTTTAATAGCAGGTAAATAATAATTTGGTCTTACTAATGTCTCATTACAAGTGCTTCAGTTAAACAGTTGCTTTCTTATTTTTAATATTCAGCAATCTTTTTTTTTTTTTCATTTGCTCAGTTTGAACATTGCTTTGCCCTTGTACAGGACTTGGTATTTGGTACATAATAAATGTTTTTTAAATGCATTTGTAAATGAATTGCATGGCTAGTTCATCACACCATTTTAATTCCCAGTTCCAACATTTCTGCCCATATTTCCAGTTGTTCATAGGCTTTCTTCCAACCAATAAGCATTGTCTTGGTGAACCTTTAGTTGATACTTCCTATTATTGAAAACAACTATGTACTCTAACTCTTTAGACATAATTCACAAAGATAACCTAATGAAATGTTTGAAAGGAGATGTTTGACCCCTAGAGTCATTTTGCATGTGACTCTGAGTTTCAACAGTTCTTAAAGGTATTGGTAATGATCAGCCTGACCTTGTAGAGCAATCTTTAATGAATTGTTGGGTTTACCAACCATTGCTTTTGTTAGAATATGACTTTTTAAAAATAATCCCAACCTGACATACATCACAGTTCAGGCAGTGTTGGAACCAAAAATTTGCTTACAGCCACTTTCAACAAAATGCATTTTGTAGACTAATTTCTCTTTACTAAAGTTATCAGAAAAACAATTTTCCTCATGCTATACTGTTGTAGAAATTTCTAAGAGGATGAAAAATAAAATATCAGGCCATTAATGCACTTGGTTTCTAGATCAAAATTTTGGTAATTTTTTTCCTCCTCATTTTCCTCTTTTTCATCTCTTTCAACTTGGTTTCCACTTATTTACTTCTCATTCCTAAAATTTCTAGTGGAACAGAGGGGAAAATCAGCTTTATCTTCTTTTAGTGGAAACCCAGACTCTCAATTAACTTACTCATGGTGGTGAATCATTTTCCTTTAAGTATTCTTTTCTTCTGCTAAATCACAGGATTATTTAGAAGCAGCAATATTATTTAGGAATAAGAACTGATTTACACAGGCCTACTACATCTTATCTGGAACTTTAATAAAGTTTCATTAAACACATATCTGCACTTTGGTAACAAAGATAAGCTTCTTAATAGAACATCTTCTAAAGTTTGCCTATAGGACACTAATTCTTTAAGAGGCTTCATGAACATAATGTCTTATGATGATATATTTGGGAAATGGAATATTCTCTGTATGCCACTGGGAAATTCATTGCACACATGTAGGGTAAATCAAAGGGTACACTTCATTTTGCCAGTGGTGAAGATATTTGGACTTCAAGTAGCAGTTTTTCATGAGAACAGAACACAAATATCCTCAAATACTTTTGGCTTCCACAGTACTTAATATTTCCCCCATGGAGCTGGTATTTATTGGTGTTCTTTTTATGTTCTGCTTGATACTTACTTTTACTTTTACTTTTTACTTTTTACTTTTGTAAATATTTTATAAACCTATGATGATGTGAACTCACTACCAGGGAATATCCGGGACCTTGGAAGGACTTATGCAAGCTGAGGACTCTGAACCACAAGCTTCATTAGCAATGTGCTAAATCTGTATCATCCTACATACAGTGATATTGTTTTATAGATATATGATATTGCTTTAGTCTCATTTCTTTTGGTCCTTCTTCCTGTCTGACATATATCCTATATCCTACATGTTGTTCAATTTAGCAAATAAAAAACATTAAATTTGAATTTCATATAAACAGTTTTTAGTATGATGGGTTCCAAATATTGCAAAGCACATACTTAGACTAAAAATATTATTCCTTGTTTATTAAAAATTCAAACTTAATTCATGTCCTGTATATTTTCTGCCAACCTATGCATTCTGGTTGAACCACTCAACACCAGGACTTCTCAAAAAAAGATATATTATTTAATATTTCATACCTTGGCTCAATGTGTCCTAAGTTTTTTTCACTAGAAGAACTTCTTAGGAGATGGTTGCAAATACATGTTGCTAAGGCCCCCACCTGGGGTGATGAACCAGCCTTCCAGATGAATTTTATCTACAGGCAGACCTGGCAAGCCCGGCCTCATGTCAGGCAGTTTTGTTTCTGTAGCCTAAAATGCCCTTGCAAATTTTGACCCTGTAGCCTTTCAGGCCTGCTGGTGAGAAGCTGAACTTGTCTTCACCTCCTTCTCTAGAAAGATTTTATTCAGCTGTTCTCAGAAAGTGTACTGTTGTTCATGAACTTCTTTTTAAGTGATATTAAGTGTGGTTTCTCAGACCAGTAGCATTGGAATAATCTGTGAACTTATTAAGAATGCAAATTTTCATGGGCTCCTCAAGACCCGCTGAATAAGAGACTCTGGAGGTGAGGCCTGAGCTCTGTGTTTGATGAGCTCTGCAGGTGATTTTGATGCATGTTTAGGTCTGGGAATCACTGTTCCATAATGATACCCAGTACTTTTGTGAAAATTATGCGTAACTATCTCACCCACACGTTCCTTGTTCTAAATTCCTTGATGGGTTTGGCTACACTGGATTTCTCTTTGCATTTATTCTCAAAGCCTGATACGTACATGAGTCTAAGATGCTTATTGAATGAGATATTTGATGAGTGAATGAATTAATGCATGATTATGTGTTTTGTAGTAAGCTACCTGGTGCAAACCGTGACTCAAAGGGAGGTGGATGATTGAACTGTTCTGTGACCCAAATGCATGCCATTGTGGTTCCAAGATCCAAATTTTTTAGAGCATAGTTGAATCACCTTTCCTTACATATTTTAGTTTCTATGAAAGCTGTAGAGGACACAAAGAGTTTAAGTGAATTATGTATGGTCATTTTAATACTAATGTTAAAAAAAGCACATATTTTTAACTGTGATTTGTTGAACAGGACAATAGGTAAAATGAATTAAATGGAGACAGACCCTATTGAATTATGTAATTGCTTTGTGTAAGGATATATGGTGAAAATTATATTTTACATACTGGTTCAACATTAACCAATGCTGATGGTTAAAAATGACAACACCATGTCTTTACGGTAGAATACAGGTATCTTACAAAAATTTTCAGAAAAGATGACTGAATACCAGATGTCTAATTGTGGGAAGAACAGTCATCTTGTTTCTAAGTCAACTGAAATAATAAATTCCACAAAATACAAATTTCAACATTTTATGATTAAATTGATGTGTAATTATGTATGTCGGTTACTCTGGATATTATTGTAGATTCTCTGACTGCATACATAGAGATATCATGTACCTGAACATCCAGCAATCTTAATAAAAGTACAAAAGATCAAATGTACCTATTAGTTTTCTTAAAATTTGCTTTTTTTTTCTGTGAGTCAACTTTTATTTTCTGTTTTTAAAAGGTGAAACAATTAAACCAATTTTTCCCTAAGAACAGAGAACCAAATAAATCTCTCTGGGAAGACAGTGATTTCCTCATCTCTCATGGTAACAATAGCTTTTACATGTTAAAAACCACAGGAGTATTATTATTAAAATATAAATTAGAGTATTATAATGAATAGATCATGCAAAGGGTGAATGATTGGTTATTGTAATATCCACAGTATTTGTCAAGCCCACAGATTTGAATATTCCAATGTTGGGTACTATATTCTGTTGTTTTGGACTCTCAAAAGTTCTTGGGTAGCCAAGTCATATTTCTTTCTTTTTTATATTCAGGGTTACAATTCTATTTTAGGCCATTATTCCTTTTATCATGTAAATCACAACATTCTACTAACTTATTTTTTGATCCAGATACCTCACCCAATACTTACACAATTGCAAATTAATGTATTTGTTGTTGTATGGCTTTCTTGGGCTGGTCATACCATATGGTCAATAATCTCGGGCCAAAGAATTGAAGTGCTGTCTTAAATGTAATATACTACCACTAGGCCTGGCTCTACTAGAAATAATCTCTCAGCCTTCTGGGTACTCCTTTTGGGACTCTACACAAGTTCTGGCTTGTGTTCTAGATATAGATGACACAGATGCTTTAATCTTGCAGCTTTTAAATGTTCTCTCAATATCAGGGCTCTATTAGTATTTGTTAGATTAAATTTGTTGACTTTTTTTTTTATTTTTATTTTTGACAGGCAGAGTTAGTGAGAGAGAGAGAGAGACAGAGAGAAAGGTCTTCCTTTTTCCATTGGTTCACCCTCCAAATGGCTGCTATGGAAGCCAGGAGCCAGGTGCTCCCTCCTGGTCTCCCATGCGGGTGCAGGGTCCAAGGACCTGGGCCATCCTCCACTGCCTTCCCGGGCCACAGCAGAGAGCTGGACTGGAAGAGAAGCAACCGGGACAGAATCCGGCACCCCAACTGGGCCTAGAACCCAGGGTGCTGGTGCCAGAGGCAGAGGATTAGCCAAGTGAGCCATGACACCGGCCCATTTGTTGACTTTTTTGGTCTAAGACGTTGACTTTCAAATTTTGCTGCACATTGCATTCAATAGGGGATCTTATAAAAATACTGGGGTCTGGATTCCACTACCAGAGATGCTGACTTCATTCATCTGGTATGAAATCTGGGCATTGGGACTTTAAAAAATCTCTCTAGGTTTGTTTTGTTAAGAAATGGACTAAGGATATGAAAAATATATTTTTAAATTATGTAATATAAATTGCTGATAGACACATAAAATGATGCTCAGGACCACTAGCCATCAAAGAAATGCAAATAAAAATCACAATGAGGTTTCACTTTACCAGTTAGGATGGTTATCATCCAAAAATGAAAAAAATAACAAATGCTGGCAAGAATGTGGGGGGAAAGGTACACTAATTCGCTGTTGGTGGGAATCTAAACTAGTACAACCATTATGGAAGACAACATAGAGATTCTTCAGAAAGCTGAAAATAGATATACCATGTGACCCAGCCATCCCACTCTTGGGAATTTACTCAAAAGAAATAAAGCAGCATATGAAAGAGTTAACTTTATAGCAGCTGAATTTGTAATAGCTAAATATGGAATCAACCCAGATGTCTATCAATTGTTTACTGGATATAAAATTGGTAGATATACATAATGGAATACTACTCAGCCATAAAAAAGAATGAAATCCTGTTTTTCACAGCAAAATGGATACAACTGGAGACAATTATACTTAGTGCAATAAGCCAGTCCCAAAAAGAGAAATAACATAGTTTTTCTGATTTGTGATAACTAATATATAGAATACAAAAAGGTAATATATATATAAATGAAACCAACATCTTGATATTTGTTTATTTTTATAGCCCTTGTCTATACTCCTGAGGAACAGTGGTCTTTTTACTTACAGCTTGCTGAATTATTTATTTAGTGGAGGATTATGCTTGCGGTTATAAAGTAAATTGAAAGTATGTCATTGCAAAAATTATAAGATAAATAAGGAAGGAGGAGAGAGGGTGGGAAGTATCATTATGTTCTTAAAATGTATATATGAAATGCATGAAATCTGTTCCCTTTGTGTAAATAAAAAATCTCTATAGGTCATTCTGATATATAGCAAAATTTGAGAATCATCAGTGCTGCTAATACTGGGATTTTCCAAAATGTCTCTTGTAGTATGTTTATTGGCCAGTCTCCCAAGGCCACTTGGTTGGTGGATTTATATCCATCACAACGCTGTGAACAGATGTCCCCTTGAACAAGTTCCAACATGGGACCTCCCCAGAGCAACTCGGCCTTATCTGTAGCTCTGCACAGCATCAATAGGAAATGCTTGTTTCTCGTATGAAGGTTTAAAGATAGTCCTCAAAATTACCTTGTAGTCTTGGTTGCTAGGTTTTTGAGAGTGCTAATTATAATTAAGACTCTAACTAAAAAAATGAAAATATTAATGTATAAATGGTTTTATTTTATGCCTCAAATTATGTAATTTATTATACCTCACTGGGATGTTCAAAGAAAGGAAAAGTGAATCATAAGCAAGTGACTTAAAAAACAGTTTTAAGCATTTGAACCAGTGTATTGTCTTAAATTTGCATTTAGAAAAGGACAAGCAGGGGGAGAAACATATGTGCTGCTATTTCTAATCACATAACTGGAATTTAGACTTTTCTGGACAGGCACCTTTCGTACTGATTTATGATGAAAAGATGATATACCATAGGGATGTAGGACTTGTTTACAGTGTTTTTTTCTTTCTTAAAACAATTTATAATGTAGGGAAAACACAATCTACCCTATTAGATAGGTATTATGTGAATTGTTGATAAAATTAATGATATTAACATAGATGATTATTTTGAACCTAATAGTTTGAATTGTTTTTCCTGGAGGGTTTGGGTTCCAATTGATCCAAGTCAGTCTCTCACTCTTGCACTTTGAGCAATACCAGGTGTGGATGAGATGCCCAGATGGCTTGTGGGCATTTGTGATATAGAGCACATTTTAACATAACACCATTAGAAGAATCAAACTTAAGTCCTAGACTGACTCTTATAAGCACTATATTCTAAGCAATAGATAATATGTTCATATGATATTACTTACTTTTTGTATCCTTGACCATAACAGATAAAATACAGAACTGAAGGCTGGGTGTCTAGAATGTATAAACTTCTGACCGCATTGAAACCCAATAAGGCATCTCAGAAAGAGCTTTTTATTTTTATTTTTTCCCATGATCCTTCTTCCAACTCAGAACAGCTCCCCATATCCTGGTAGTGCTTTATAATATTACTTAGAATAGATTCCTCTCCATTTCCACTCTCATTTAGGTCCCTATTAATGTCATGTCATCTGCTAGGGCCTTTACCCTGTACAACTTGCTTTCCATCTGAAAGTCCTTCTATATTCCATTCTCTCCCAGGCTGTGGTATCAGTCTTCCATCTCTATTAGAATCTTATCCTAACTTCAAAGTGGATCAATTCATGATTGCTTCTTTGCTTTTCTCAAGCATCCTAGCCACAGATTCCCTCAACATAGTATTTATTCCTCAAAGTCAGCACAGAGACCAATAGATGATTCCAAATATTTTCTGAGCAAATGAGTACTATCCCCAGCAATCAAGAGGTGCTTGAGAACCTCATCCACAGTGAACCTTGATCCTAAAATTTCTGGTCCCATTTTCTGAAGGGGTAATAGTCAAGCTTTTGGAAATTTCTGTGTTTCAGTTTTTCAGACTTCTTCTGATGTGTTTATTTTTTAAAGCCAAATTAATAAACAGAAAATAGAACCTCTCAAATTTTAGTTCAGTTGCTTCATCCTCTCTTCAGAAGTTCTGCATTTTATAAAATTTTCTTGCTGAAACTTTCTTTAATCACTCCTATTCTTTGATAGTTTTCTTATGTTCAGTAACATTCCATTCTTGTATATTATGAAGATATATATAGTTCTAGTCTCTAGCGTTTCAACTTATCAGAAAAAACACTTTCAACAAATCTAAATTTCTTCCTATATAATGGAGCTCATTCCAGTATAACTGGCTATAAAAGAGAATTCCAGAAAACAACAAAAACATCCAAATAAGAGTTCTTACAGATTGAGATTGTTAAATAATTCTTTCAATTAGGTCTCAGGCTGAAAAGTCAGAGGCTGGAAGATTCTTTTATTTATTTTTTCCCTGAATAGATAACTATTGAATGTCTGCTAAGCAGAATGTCCTGTGCTGTGTCAGCTGTCACCATTAAAACAAATGGGGAATTTCAACTTCATGCACACATAAATAATGAGTAGTACTTCCCCCAAACTTTGGGGCTTGCAAATGTGCTCTCACATATCTAGTATAATTTTGCTGAGCTCTTATTCAGCTCTTTCTAGACATGCTCATTTTTGCCTAAGGAAAAATATTCTAATTGCTTTGAGGAAAAGTTATTTTGGAAATGATAAAAAATTGAACAGAGGAAAAAAGCAATATGATTAATGATAAAAATATTAAATGTGGATTGAAAAATGGCTGATGAATAAATCCAATCATTTGCCTAAAGGAAATAAAAACCTTGGGGCCGGTACTGTGGCTCACTTGGCTAATCCTCCACCTGCAGTGCCAGCATCCCATATGGGCACCAGGTTCTAGTCCCAGTTGCTCCTCTTCCAGTCCAGCTCTCTGCTGTGGCCTTGGAGGGAAGTGGAGGATGGTCCAAGTGCTTGGGCTCCTGCACCTGCATGGGAGACCAGGAGAAAGGACCTGGCTCCTGGTTTTGGATCAGCGCAGTGCCAGCTGTAGCAGCCATTAGGCGAGTGAACCAATGGAAGGAAGACCTTTCTCTCTGTATCTCTCTGTGTCTGTAACTCTATCTCTGTCTCTCTCACTGTCTAACTCTGCCTGTCAAAAAAGAAAAAAAGAAAATAAAATTGTTTAAAATCCTTAATTCCTATAAGTTGTCTATATATGAGGAAAGAATTTATCTTCATAGTAGTTTTCCTCTCACTGATTCTAAGGTTCTACCTAGAACTTGCACTTCAGAAGCTTAATTTATAGAAATTAATGCAATGATGGAAAAGAAATTTAAGTAAATTACCAGCTATTCGTAACTTTACCTTCTTCTATTTGTCTAGGACAATTAAACAAACATTTTCCCTCCATGGATAAAAAGGGCGCTTGTAATTTTTCCTTTATTTAAGTGTACCTCTCACTAGGTAGACTACTGCCTCAAAGCCAATGTCAGGCTATTTTCATTCTGAACCATTTTCTGTGCTCTAGGCTGTCTGCAGAGAAACAACCAAGCAACTGCCCTGAGAAATTTCATATTGATGAATATTATATTGCCTGAATGTGAATGTATAAGTAGGGCTGCATGGAGGGATGTTCATTTTACATTTAGCTCAGTCTAAGTTGACAAAGTGAAGGAGCATCAAGGAGAGGTGATAAATACAGCTGTTTTTTGGCTTTAATGTACTGCCATTTAGTCAAAGGTTGCATGCCATTTTGTCTTTAAATACCCTTATGAGGTAGCTTGGAGAGATCTCTGCCCTTTTCAAGTTGTGACAGATTTCCTATTTAAAAGCAAGAAAGCCAATTGCTGGAAAAAATATGCATAACTAGCAAGAGAGCATAATAAAGTTGCTGCTGAAATTCTGTAGAACTTTGGGATATTTGCACTGGTGAATTTTGAGGCCTAATTTATCACTTTTATGTCTGAGTAATAAAGATGCCAGAATTTCCTGATTCTACTTGAAAATAGATGCTGGAAAAAAAAAGGTGCTGCAGACAGTACCAGGAGTATAGATAATCTGGTTCTTTTCCAGCTCTGTCAATAGGAATACCAAGAACCAGTGAATCTACCCAATATACTCAAACAAAGGCATCAGTTTCCAGTGGGAAATTCTATTGTCCATCTAAAAATTAGATAGCATAAGTGTCCTCCATAACGTATGATAGCCTGCCTCTACCAAAAAAATAAGCTAAGTTTATATGGGACTGGAAAGTAAATTATTTATAACAAACTGCACTTGTTTTTCACCAATAACAATCTCACACCTTTATTCCTAGAATTTCTTCAATGAAATTTTTCAAAATGTGTAAGTGCTTATTTCTTTGACAATGCCCTTTGGGTAATTTGGTTGCTGTAATTACAATGGAACAGAAGGGAAGGAGATCTTAACATTCTTCTATCAGTCCATGCCATTAGCTGTATGGGTAACTAGAACTTCTGAAAATCCCAACTCAGATAATACAGATACATGCCACAGAGCATCAATCACACATAGCCAGTGGATGATTTTTGCTCCTTTGTACCAAAGGTTTTTTTTCAAAAATTTTAAAAAAATTTTCAGGCTTTATGATTAGCATGACTTGTGAGAGCTCTCTTAGGGAAAGCTTTGACTGAAAAAATTGTAGGGATTGGTTTTCTATGATTTATAAAACTTCAAAATTAGCAACGACTTCATTGACAAATGTTTTATTATATTAAAAACATCTACTTTATAGAGGTTCTCAGTTTAGGGTGTAAGCCCATATAATTTTGACAACATCTTCAGAGATGCAGAAGAGATACAGTGTGATCCACAGACTCACCGTCTAAACTATAAACATACACTTGATCCTATATATTGCTCTTTTTAAATTATATTTCATTTCATAAGAAAAGCAAGTGACTTCTCTAACAGCAATGGAAAAATCCTCATTAATTACAGAGAAAACTGATCAAAGAAAGTATTCTTTATGTGTCAAAATCCAAACAATGCCAAGAGCCATCCTGGGAATGAAAAATGCTATCTGGGCACTTACTTGAAGCTTTTTTTCAGTCTCCTCAGCTTCTCACTTTCAATTACAAAAAGGTCTATGACTCCGGTGTGTGCTTGGAAATTCAGGATCACTTTTGCTGCAAAGACCAGGTCAGGAATCCGACAAATGAGTACTGGGTCTTCAAGTGGGCTCAATTTGCATGTGATCAAGTTTGCTAGCAGTTAAGAGACTGTAGTTTCGAGGCACCACATGATTCTCTGTGCTGTAATCTAAACCATTAAAATATGAGGAATTATTCTACTTCTCACATCTACTTATAGATATATAGGGCTTATCTCCCTAAATCCTTCTGAATGTTATCTGATCCAACTCCACATTTCGAACAATGCCTCTTTATCTCCCAACTAGAACATGATTACTGTCCTTATCCACAGTCTTTCCTATGCTGGATGTCATGCAAAGAGGCTTGTTGCTTTCATTTATGGTTTTGCTGCTTTTGTTTGGGTCAATATTGCGGCAGTCATTTTGAAGGCAAAAAGTAAAACAAAAATTAAAAAACCTCTTCTTCCCTATACAATGTAACTGCAGATCATCGCTTTATAAAGGAGTTTGTATAGAGGCCTATACAATAGTGATGGTGTGGAGTTTGTGTTGCGTTTCTGAATGGGAGAATTCAGGGCAAACAAATTCAGCTATAAATAAGGTTTTGACTCAATGTTGGGCATTTTTTTTTGGCAACACACAAAAAACCAAGAAATTCTTGTTTGTTGCTTTTTGTTTTTAAAGGGAATTGGAATAAATGACAGTTTTCAGGTTCACATTTGAAAAGACTATCAATACTATTTATAACCACCAACAAATCAGAGAGAATAGAGATCCTTCTGGTAAGAGGTTCAGCAACTCATTCAATTCTCTAATTGCTAGGAGAAAATATCTAAACTCTAGTCTCAAGGTATTATATTCTCTGGTTCACCATGAGATTAGCAAATAAAGGCCATGAAAGTGCATTTACTAACTGATTAATGCAAGATCTTTGAGGCTTATGACCTGAAAGCCAGATGAGTTACCAGGATATTCCAGAGAACATTCTGGAAGGGGTAGCTAGGATTGAGACCCTTGGAAGTACTTTTTAAATTACTTCCCCTGTGAGGAACTTTCTGTGGACTTCAGTCCTTTGGGACCAAAACCCATGAGGCATTTATGAACAAGTGATATGAGAATTTTAATGAAATGTGCAATAACCCTGAAAATAGTGTGTTTAATAATAATATATGTACTATTAGTAACAATGCATGCATAGTGCTGTGCGTTCATACTACTTGGCAATAAAATATGTGACTGTAATTATGATATTTACAGTCAACTTATAAAAATACATGTAATTCTGAATGGCAATAGTTAATCCCTAGCTCTAACTACAGGCCATAAGGATTAGCTTATCATGGGAAAGTGCTATGGATAATTACAAAATTGGCAAAGCTTTCACATTCTTGAATTCAACGTACAAGGATGGCTATTATAGCACTGTAGGAATTTCACTTGCCATAATTCTTCTTACCTCACAAGGTAAAGCCTAAACTCTAGAAAGAAATGGGAGTAAAATTGAACAGGGACACTAACATTACACAACAACCAAGGACAATTCTTTCATAGAATATTCATGCACAACTATCAAAGAGGCTCGTGGTCACTGCAAGAATTCATGGGCTGACATCTAAACATGCCTTTCATTAAAAATTGTTAAGTTTCATTTCCAAAGACAGTAACCAGCATAGAATGGTTTGTATGCCCTAAGTTAGCCAGTAATTAACTTCAACCAGGAGACATTAAGAATCTCTGTAATTTAGGTGAGTACCTCTTTGAAGCTTTATTAACTTTACGAAAAGTAGAGTTTACAAGATACTTCCTAATTCAAATTTATATTCTGGTGGGAGGAAACCAATCCACATTTCAATTTAAATAAAGAAAATGTGTGGTGTTTGAAAACTTAAAAAATTCCCTCATTTTGGAGAAAAACACATTTCAACTGAACAAAATACTCAAATATGAGTTATTTCCCATAGGTTTTTTTCTTTTTTAGTAGTGGATTTGTCATCTGTTGATAGTAGATATAAGTTTGTAATTTGAACACTCTCAGTTCTTCACAAATGAACAAAATAATGAGGATAAGCTTGTAAAACTAGGGAGTGGTGCACACAAGCTACCAGGAAATGCTGAGCTTGGTGGGAGTTACCTGCAAATCATGATCTCATCTTTTAGGATGTATCTTGGCATTCAGTAAATGGAATTCTTGGAAATAGCTGTTTCACAGTGAAGTTGGGAAGTCAGATGATACTCAGATTTCTTCCTGGGTTTAAATTACTTCTTAGGAATGAGTTAAGGCATTTTAGGTGGTAGATTGACTCTTCCAGAACCAGAAATTCCATTTCAGTAAATTATTGCTACATTTCACTATAGAGTACCATGGTGTCCTGGAAAAGATAATGTCTATTCCAAAATGCCAGCTCTCTAGTCACTTGGACAATGAGAAATTTATATTTACTTTAGATACTTCCTTCCTTAAAGATGTAATCTAAAAAAAGAATTGTTTTTCCTCACATAAATAGGGACTGTCTGAGTAGAAACATATCAGAACTGCCCTAGTGGTTTGGTAGCACACACTACTATCCCCATGTACACTTTTCTACTAGCATGCTTAATTATTCCTTTATAGATCATACTTCCTGTGGAATGATCTGTGATAATGAATTCAAGTGGTTCAAGTAGGTCAGCTTTTAAAAATTAAGTGAAGGAATGGAGTATGGCACATCCTGGAAACAAATGGAGTGATAGTTAATGGGATTTCTCACCTCATTAAATGTCACCTTTTGAAAAAAACCTTTACCATAATGGGTATCTGTGAAAAGGGAATTCCTCCCCTGCTCATTTCTAAAATCAAAACAAAAACAGAGAAACTCCTCACACATTTCTACATCAGAGATGAGATCATGGTTTGGAGGTTCATTAGAACTAAACACCAGTTCATCCTAGCGCAGTAGTTCATGAGGCAAAAGTCTAGGGTTATCTGTGACATGAATTTACAAATGATGTAAAAACAATAACCCTATAACAGGTAACTATTTTCCATGTTCAAATATCTAGATTTTGTGCCCCCAAAAACACAATGGGAAAGACATGGCTCATTTCTAGTAGAAACTGAATAGCTCCAAGATAGGACAAAACAAACTCTATTCAATAAATAAAATTTTACTTCGGTGTTTTACATCTTAGAGAGTCTTGTCTCTTGTCCTTCATAATATAGCAAACTCTACTTGTAAAAGCCATTATTTTATTACTTCATTAATCTGTTTCACTTCCAAAGATTGTTACCAGAATGCAATTTTTTAAAATCTCTTTTCTGAACTTATCTGAATCTAAGAACAAAACAACATACAACCAAAGTTAGTGGGGAAACAGTAGATTTCTTCCAGGTAAAAGACTTTACTAGAATATTTTACAATCAACTGGTCATTTGTTCTGTCCTACCTGGAAATAAATGATGTTACTATTTGGTGTGGGAAAAGGCATTTTCTAGTAATTTTCTGCAACAGGAAACACAGCATTAATCCTTATAAGCACCCAACAGACTCAGTCTATCTGCTAGGATGAAGTTTTAAACTTTAATTCAATGAAAACATTGACCTCAGTACTTTTTTGGAGAAAGAATTCAGCAGCAGTTAGAGTTAATATTCCACCTGTGGAGAGCTTCAATCACCCTTGCAGGCAACTTTCCAGGTAACAAGAACAATGATATTGCAAGAAGCTACAAAATGATATTGCAATTGTTGCTGTGATCACTACTATAATGATCATGGCTTGGGTTAATGCTCCAAATATTAATGCAAGGAACACACTAAAGTCTATAAGATTAGAATATTTTCCTTACATTAAGAACCAATTGATGGTGCATGAGTTCTATTTCTCTTTAAAACATGTTTCCTAGGTATGTTTTCTTTCTCCTTCATTAATTATTTGTATTCCATGGCAGTATATTTTTCAACATCTAAAACAAGAATGCTGTAACTATGGAATTCTCTCTTTCTCTCTCTTTCGCTCTCTCTCTCTCTCACACACACACACATACACACACACATTATGTACCCTTACACACATATGTATGGAAAGTATGGATCAAGTGCTCATTTGCAGGTGGTTGAGCTCTTTAATGGTAGCCTTATCAGCCCTCCAAATACTGAAAAATATTATAAGCCAATGAAAAACCATATCAACTATTTAGTTTTAACATGATAATTTAAACCTTGTCCATGTGGTAATTAATTCAAGTGCCTTTTGAGTTTTTTTTTTTTTTGATACATCATCCAAAGCAAGTCTCAATGACAGTATGATATGTATCATCAAATGAACCCACACCATTGTTTATTACACAGTTGAACAATGCTGTTGCTGCAGAGACACTTGAATTGATTTTGAATGGACATTAGTGAGTCTAAATATTTGGCTAAGGCTGATGTGACTCTTTAGAGAAAGGCCAGCCTATCTGCAAATGGACACCTTCCTCCATACAAATGTCAATGTACACTAAAGACAAATATAAGTATATGTATATAAAGCATATATACATATTTATGTACACATAAAATGGATTGGGAAGACCTTTGGTTTAGACAAGATTAAATACGTACTTCCCAAGTGCATAGGTTTCCTTTGACCAGTCTTCAAAAAACAAACAAGGAAAGTGCCATGGTGATTTTGACATTTCCTATGTCTTTTCCCCTGTTTGGCGGCCCACATTTCTTCTCTATTCCATCTCTCCTAATCATTTTCTTTTTAAAAGTAGTTGGTTCTTTTGCCCTTCTACCTTAACATTCCATTTGATTTGTCAATTCCTTGGAAAAGCTCTAAGATCATGTCCAGAAACTTATCCTTTGTGGAGAACAAGGGTGCAAAGAACTTCCCCCCTCGTGTTTATTCCCTCTTCCCCCCAAGAAGCAGACACTTGGATGTGTCATGAGTAATGCACTCGTGCTCTGACTTGCCTTGTTACCCCTGGCCAGCCCAAGCAGCTGAGGTCTGAGCTTAACTCGCCCTGCATCATTGTGCAATACTGGAAAAGAAAAATAATCCATTAGTCTACACCCCCTCAGACTGTGGTGACATGATCAGGGTTCTCTTGAATTTCTATGCATTCAATTTCTTCTCTCTCCTTTCGTTTGGCACGTTTCTTTTTCTTGTGGTGCTTTTTGGAAGGGGGGAAAAAGGTTAGGAACACAGGTAAAATAACAAAACAGTGCAGAAGTGTGCAACCCCCTGTGAGCAGCAAGCATTTGAACAGTGTGAAGGTCAGGTTTGAAGGCACAAATAGGAGGGGAACCAACCCAATAAGAAAAGAAGTAACATTTTGCAAAATGGCTGTCCCATGCTCTTGCAGGGAGCTTTTTATACATTGTGTTCGGGTGTGCTCAGTTGCTAATACAAACGTGTAAAGCAGTGGTGCACAGTGGTCAATGGCAAAATTTAAAGTGTAGATAAGGCACAAGATAGAAATGCAATCCATGTCGACGTTCCATAATGTCATTAATCCCAGAACGCCCAGCTCAATTGAGGTGACACTAAGAATTAGCCAGAAGTTTCCCAGAGGATGGATCACTAGGAAAAAAGTCAGGATTAACATCAGGAGAACACCAAAGCCTGCAATTAGAACAGGCACAGTGACAGATAAGCTGTAATGATCCGTGAAAACAAATGAGGGATTGAACACAATGAATCGGATGCTCTTTGAGAGGGACAGGGGCCTCAACTTTTCCAACACTTCTATGACTTCCTTCTGCTTGTCTCTGCTAGTCCTGGCTACCAGATACAAGCGAGAAGCAATGATGTTGTTTTCATCCCCTGCCTTGGAGAATATGATATCATTTCGAAAATGCTGGAATTCTGGCTTTTTTAAAAATGAGCTTTGTAGGACACTGATGAAGTCACTTTTGTTATTGGCACTGATATTGCTGACTTTCAGGAACTGGTAGTACTGCTCCACCCAGGACACTGCAGTGAATCCACTACAGAGTCTTCGTAGGTCCTCCTGGACGCTGCTGTTCCAGTACTCGAGGGGTTCATAGACATAGAATCCTATCACAGGGCTATAGTTGCTGAAATATTTTTGCTGAACCATGGCATAGGAAATGCTTGGGGAGTCACTGGCTAGTAGATTGATGATGTTGGCTCCGTCACTGATCTGCAAGCACCCCATGAAGGAGAAGGAGGCATAAATGAGATAGAGGATGACAACAAATGGCTTCACATAGATATTGGTGATCCATTCATTGTAATGTTCGCGGAGGAAGTGCTGGATGAAGTGGTGCTGGTAGGGGTTCGTCTCGTGATGGGATGTCTGTTGATGCCCATCACTCATCACTGTCTGGAACCACACAGGTTTGCGGTCCAGGTATTCTGCAGACGGGATCTTACAGCAGAAGATGCTGTGGTAACGGTTTTGCTCTAGTTGGCCCGCAAAGACCAAACAGGAGCCAAAGAAGGAAAAAATGTAGAAGTAATTCAACAGAATGGAGACACACATGTTCTGACAGAAGATCTTGACCGCCTCTATGTTTGTGAATGGGCTGGCACCCATGCCAAAGGTGATGAAATACAGGGAGCTGGTCATGGTATAGGTGACCATCACATCAGAATAGGCATCTGCTACCCTGTCTTTGAAGGGCAGATTTTCTTTGGTTCTCCGCCATCCAGACAGAAGCTCAAATACTCCTTTAGTTCCATGACCTAATGTTAAGAAAAAGAAGAAAAAGAATATTTGCTTTTATTTGCTTTATGGTTCAAGTAAATTCCTTGTAGGTTAGCTATGCTAATCACTAGTTTATACTGTAATCTTAATATCACAATTTATGTCTACAAAGTGCTATAATCCTCCTATCAAGCCTTAATACTTGAGTTACAAAGAGAATATATGAGCATACTTCAGAAAGTTAAGGAAAAAATTGAATTAAATGATAACTAGTGGGGAAGGTGCAAGCGTGTATGGTGCATGAGGTTTAACTGTCACTTAGAATGTTCACATCCTGAGGCCGGCACCGTGGCTCACTTGGCTAATCCTCCGCCTGCAGCTCCGGCATTCCATATGGAAACCAGGTTCTAGTCCCAGTTGCTCCTCTTCCAGTCCGGCTCTCTGCTGTGGCCTAAGAAGGCAGTGGAGGATGGCCCAGGTGCTTGGGCCCTTGCACCCATGTGGGAGACCAGGAAGAAGCACCTGGCTCCTGGCTTCGGATCAGCACAGCTCCGGCCGTAGCAGCCATTTGGGGGGGTGAACCAATGGAAGGAAGACCTTTCTCTCTGTCTCTTTCTGTCTCACTATCTCTACCTGTCAAAAAAAAAAAAAAAAAGAAATCTTTCTTTCTAAAAAAAAAAATAAAGAAAGAATGTTCACATCCTACACTGGAGTGTCTGGAATCAAGTCCTGCCTCTTCTTCCAACAAGCTTCTTTCTAATGTACCTGGGAGGTAGAAGATCGTGGTCCAGGCAGTTGGGCTTTTGCCATTGACATGGGAGACCTGGATGAAATTTCTGGCTCATAGCTTCAGTTTGACCCAGGCCCAGATGATGCAGTCATTTGGGGAAGTGAACCAGTCTTTCTCTCCCTCCTCTATATCACTCTGCCTTTCAAATAAATAAATCTTTAAAAACAAACAGTAACTTGGGGCAGCAGACAAAATGCCAATGCCACTTGGAATGCCAATATCCTTTTTCAGAATGCCTGGGTTCAAGTCCTCGCTCTGCCCTGATCCTGAATCTAGCTTCCTGCTAATGTGCACCTTTGAGGCAACAGGTGTAGGCTCAAGTAGCTGGATACCTGTCACCTGTATGGTAGACCTGGATTGAGTTCCTGGTTCTGACTTTGGCTTGGCCCAGTCCTGGGTGTTGCAGGTAGCAGGAAACTGGAAACCAGCAGTTGGGAGCATGCTCTCTCTCTCTTTCCCCCTTTCAAATCAATAAAATAAATTAATTTTTAAAAGGTAACTATTTTGGTACAATTTTTTAAAATCCATGCAGTTTTTTTTTTAAAAGATTTTATTTATTTATTTGACAGGTAGAGTTATAGACAGTGAAAGAGAGACAGAGAGAAAGGTCCTCCTTCTGTTGGTTCACTCCCCAATTGGCTGCAACAGCTGGAGCTACGCCGATCTGAAGCCAGGAGCCATGTGCTTCTTCCTGGTCTCCCACATGGGTGCAGGTGCCCAATCACTTGGGCCATCCTCCATTGCCTTCCCAGGCCACAGCAGAGAGCCGGACTGGGAGAGGAGCAACCAGGACCAGAACCGACGCCCACATGGGATGCAGGCACTGCAGGTGGAGGATTAACCTACTGCGCCACGGCACCGGCCCCCAGCAGTTTTTTCTTAATAATAAGCATTTTCCATAAATTTTTGAAGACCTTTCATACTTGATCTCTGTTTTGACTTTGATAAAGGCAAAATTTAATATTCTGGGAAAAATAAATATTTATTGTATGTTTTATTAATCTAATAAATCGTAATTAAAATGTTACATTATTACATGATTCCCATGTATACAAGTTGTCTTTCTAGATGGATTATATCAAGGGCAGAGGTTACTATTTGTGCATCCTCAAGCCCCTCAACATCAATTCTAGTGCTGATTCCTTACCTTTCAGCACAAGTTTGTGTAAATGCTGATTTAGGAAATTATGAGATAATGTTAAACACTTTAAAATGCCTTTATATTGATTTTGCAAATCTTGATAGTCTGCCTGATATCTAAATAGCTTAGAAATCAATTTCTATAGATTTGATTAGTTAACACTGGATGTGAATCAAATAAATCTATAGAGTCACAGAAACAACAAGGCAAGACCTTGAAGGTGAGAGATCTCGGTAAGCACTTCTTTGGGCTCCTCACAGAGGTTTCTTTTGTATCGAGTGGATACTAAATGTTTTTGTTTCATTGAAGTAGATGAAAAATGCTTCTTTTTAACCAACGTCTGTCTACCTTTTGATAAGGGTAAACAGGCAAACACTTTATTCAACAAATATTACTTGAAAACCCACTTTGTACCCAATTCCCAGCTATGGTTAGCTGTCATTTTCAGGAAGTTGAAAGTTCTTCAGATACCACTACTTCTTTATGAGTAAAAGAAGAAAGCAGATGGGAAAGCAAAGGTATTATACCATATCTGTAATTATCCCCTTTTTCATTTCCCAGAAATGAACCCATCAATGATCATCCATAGTATCTCAATTGGTAACTCTGAGTGAGTGGAAATCTTTGCAGATCACTCTTGCCCATATAGGCATAGCAATACTACATGGGAACCTTTCTTTGAATGGATACAAACTGTACTTGGGCTCTTTTCCAAGAAATCCATTAGACATGCTATGACTTAAAGGCACAAAATGACCTAGTTTATGAAAACCTGAAAAAATGACTTGTTGTGACATATAGATATTGGTGTTATGTATTTCAGACCCAATGCGCTCAGTAATGCTTTAACAGAGATATTTGATATCTGGGGTCTTACTATAACCACCCTGAATTTGTGCTACTGATGGATTTTGCTAATTGGCTTATACAGTTTTTTTCTTCCTTACTTTCAGGACTGGAAGACACATAACTGAACACTGTATTTCCCAGCTTAATTTTCAACTAGGTCTAGTTCAGGTGATATAGTTCTGGATGATACAGTGAAACTGGAAGTCATCTAAGGATGTTGATTAGAAAACCAGAAGGTGCTTTGTCTGAAATGGCATCATGGAGACACTAATAAGAGCCCTAGGCTACTTTATCTTGGAATTCCTTATTAAGAAAAGGAAAAATCTTCATTTGGCTAAGCAACTGTAAGGTTATTATAAGCAGCTGATACTTCTAATGAACAATGTTTTGTAGATGACATAACATTTACCAAAACCTTTTTTATAGAGATTTAAGAATTTTTGCTGCAAATAGTTGATTTAACTATAGTATTAATACAAGTAAGTATACATGATGGCAATTTTTTTAAAAGACGTATTTATTTTTTAATTGACAGGCAGATTTACAGAGGGAGACAGAGAAAGAGACACAGAGAAAGGTCTTCCATCTGCTGGTTCATTCCCCAAATGGCTTTAACAGCTAGAGCTGGGTCAGACTGAAGCCAGGAGTCAGAAGTTTCTTCCAGGTCTCCCAGATGGGTGCAGGGATCCAAGCGTTTGGCCTGTCTTCTGCTGCATTCTCAGGTACATTAGCAGGAAGCTGGATTAGAAGTGGAGCAGCTGGGTCTCAAACCTGGCACCCATATGGGATGCCAGTATCTCAGGCAGCAGCTTTACATCACAATGCCGGCTCCTAATATTTGATTTGAAAGACAACATTGACAAATCTTTTTGGAGTTGTTATTAATTATTACAGAAAGGAACTACAAATTCCAGTTTTTACTTTAATTATGAAGCCTATTTATTCTCCAAAGTTCATGGATTTAGGTCTCCATTCAGGAAAGAAAATGTTATGCTAACAAGTATAAAGGGTTATGAAAACTGCATTAGTTAAGGCAAAAGTTATTTTATTTTATTTTGGAGGCAATAATGTCTTTGTATTTAATCACAAATTCAATGTATTTATTGAATCTAATGATTCAATAAATGACATTGATTTTTCATACCTGTCTTCTGCAATATTCCTTGCCCAAACAGAATATTTGCTGCCTTATTCCCTTGACAAAAACATAATATAAGGATAATGGTAAAGGTAATTATAATAATTATTTAATTGGAGCAGCTCTCTTTAGAAATGAGGACTCTTGCTATCTTTGTAGTTATGGGGAAGGGGCAGTTTACCTGGAGCTGTGGCTAAATTTGGCTTGCCTTTGCAATTGGTCATTTTTATGGAACATTAGGTATACTATCTAGGCCAGCTTTATTATTTTATGTAGTACAAAGATCTGTGTGTGTGGAAAAGTGTTGTTAAACCCTATTATGTTAATTAATCACTTTAGGTGTGATAGAGACAGAAAATACAACTGTAAAACTTTGCTTAGAGATGGAAATTTTTATTACATTCATAGTTCAAAATAATTTACAGGGTTCCTATCAAAATTCACTCATCAGAATCACACCATAATCTAGCCATTTCCTAGCATTCAAATTTATCACCTGCTTCAGCTACAATTGTCTTTTCAATGCCCTATGAAGATGGCCATGATCAGTGTTATCAATTTAGACCATGCTATTTTCTCTGCCTTACAGTATCTTTCTCTCATTGTGGGGCATATTAAAATTCTATCCATTGATTTTTTAAGAGTGAGCTCAATTCTCATCTTTGTCATGAAGCCATGTCTGATAATTCCAGACATATTGATTTTTTCTGTTCCTTAAACTGATGTTGAACTAATTAGTTACTCATTATAGCTCTCTACCATGTTCTGTTTTGCTCTGGAGCAAAATAGTTTTCTCAGGATATGTTTGATCTCTTGGTAAGATGACAAAGAAAGAATTTTAGGGTACTTTCCTACTCTGTTGAACATCTGATAATGTGATAGATGCCCAGAAGGTGCCAAACAATATCTTATTGAGTTAAGTAAATTGTAATTCTTGATTCTAAATAGGACCAAAAATGTATTTTTCATGACTTATTCTATTGCACACTTTTACACCTTTATCAATTCATTGTATTTATTTCAAAGGTAGCAACAGGCAGACAGAGACTCTCTTCTGTCCACAACAGCCAGGTCTATGCTCAGCCAAAGCCAGGAGCTGTGAATTCAATCTAGGACTCTC